ATTCAAGAATTTTTTTTTTCCAGGCATGTTAATGCAGCAATGCATTAACAAATTGAATAACTCTTTCAGAGAACCAGCATAGGCACAGTGTGTGGAATGGCCTCTGATTCTCACAAATTCCAAGCTGCTGCAAAGGTGAAAATTGTTAAACATTGTGGTTTGGACTTTGGTACCATCCACAGTCGAACAGTCTTCCAACACTTATAAAAGTGGATTGACAAAGACTGACTGCTTTGAAGAGGCAGCAGGGAGAATTGACACAGTAGCTTCTCCTTAAATGTACCTGTGCCATTCACATTAAATACTCCTTATGGGAGCAAATTCAACATTCTAACCAATTGACATGCCAGAATGGATCAGAAACCCGAGGCAGCAAACGAGAGAAAATATCAATAGCTTCAGTTTTGAGCCCTGTCAAAGTGGCATCTTTAGCAGTGATTTAATAAACATTCTGCATTTAAGGCAATTTTGCATTTGAAAGTAATGAATATTTTATCATTTAAAGGGCTTCTAGATGCTCATCATTAGTTCTGTCTCTTTGATTTTACCTTCTGATAATTTACAGAAAATTACATTTTGATGGTAGTTTTTCTTAAAAAGAGCTCTATCATTGCCACTTATCGCAAAATCCCGAAGATGTTACAAGGGGTGAAGTCTGAAAGTACATGATAAGACGCAACTATTTGTTCTTTCGTCTATTCTACAGGTGACAGTTGTTAGTGGAGTGTTGTTTAGAGGGGTCTGATCATATAACCCTTACCCATGTGTTTATTCACTTGTGCACCTTGTTATGAAGTTGTGTAGAGTGCTCGTGAAGTAGAAGGGCGGAAGCTAGAATTTGTTTGTGAAACTAATAGAGGGGGAAGAATGTGTGGTCCCTTTAAGAGTTGAGGTGTTTTTTTTCTGTGCTTAGAGACTTTTAAAATGTATGTCTGTAAGCAGCAGCTGGAGGTTGCCAGTATAGAAAATACCTGAAATTGAAACATTTATATTGAAAGGCCACGCAGCATTTTTACCAAGGCAACAGTTTTCAAATCTGATGGTGTTGACAACATCGAACCAATCCTACGTAAGAAATATTGTTATGTCATCGCGGGTACAAAGAAGGGAGCAGTTGGACAGAGACCCTAGAGCTAACTGCCATCTGCCCAGGTTAAGAACCCTCAGCTCTGTCTCCCTCTCTCTCTCTCTCTCTCTCTCTCTCTCCCCCACTCTCTTGAAGGAGAAGTTGGCTCTCACGGTCATCTACATATTACAGAAAGCACCTTCTACCCTAAAAATGTATCATGGCATTTCTAGCTAAAAGTCCTCACAAAAAGAGAAAACATCCCTGACAGCAGAATCAGTGGAAGAAAGACGTTTGAGGCATAACAGAAAAGGCAGAGCATTCCAGAAGACACAGTCTGTGCAAATTTGGAGAGATTAAGTTTTAATTTATTATTGTCTTATTAATTGGTTTTATATAAGTGGGACCTGCGTTTATTTGAACAGCATTCCAGTAGAATTTAGGCCAGTTAGGGAGTAGTTAGTAGTCTAGGAGGGATTTGTTCGGTTTGTTAGTAATTCTGTCAATATGTTCATTGTTAGGGTTAAATAAATAAATTGTTTGTTTTTATTTATGAAGTGGATTGGGAATTTTCTTTCTTTTAACCATGCTTTTAACTGATTACGGGGGGAAAGGTGAGTTTCTTTGGGTGTTTCAGGGGTAACTATTAGAAGGGAACCTCTACTGCCTTCATAACAGGTTGGGGCTTGTGTTTTGGTTTAATCATCAGAGGTGTTTAGCCACTCCCCCTCCGTAACAACCTTGATAATGAAGGCGAGAGGAGAGTATAGGATAGATGGAAGCAGAGCAGTCCCAATCCTGTCCATGTTCAAGCTCTGTGACTGGATCATAACTAGGGGACAGTTCATGTCTCGTTGCTCCAGGATCAAGGCTAGTGCTAAAGCCAAGATAAGGAATCAAGTTTAGCAATTCAACATGGCCCTCTTAATCTGACCTTCTAAAGTTTTATTTAAGTTTAAGTTTGAAACACAAGTGTTTACAACAAACAGACTCCCAGCCAAATCCATTGCCATTTGAGCACCTATTGGGAACTGAAAAGACGCAAGACCCCATCTGTGTGAACTTACTAAAACATGGAAAATAGGAGCAGGAGTAGGCAATTCAGGCTTTCAAGTCTGCTTTGCCATTCAATATGATCATGGCTGATTATCCAATTCAGTATACCTCGGTCCCACATTCTCCCTATATTTTTGATCCCTTTAGCCCTCAGAACCATGTCTAATTCCTTCTTGAAAACGTTCAATGTTTTGGCCCCAACCACGTTCTGTGCCAGAGATTTCCACAGGCTCAGTACTCTCTGGCTGAAGAAATTTCTTCGCATTCCAGTCCTAATAGTCTATCCCGTATCCATAGACTGTGAATCCTACTTCCAGACTCTTCAATCATCGGGAACATCCTTCCAACATTCACTCAGTCTAATCCTGTTAGAATTTCTTAGATTTCTAAGAGATCCACCTCATTCCTCTAAACTCCAGTGAATATGGTCCTAATTGATCTAGTCGCTCTTCATTCACCAGGCCTGCCATTCCAGGAATCAGTCTGGTGAACCTTTGTTGCACTCCCTCCATAGCCAGAACATCTTTCCTCCGAAACTGCTGTGGTACTCCAGCTGTGGTCTCATCAAGGCCCTGTACAATTGCAACAAGACGTCCCATCTCCTGTACTCAAATGGTCTCACTATAAAGCCCAACATTTGCCTCCTACACTGCCTGCTGCATCTGCATGCTTAGTTACAGCGACTGGTGTACAAGGACACCCAGGTCTCTTTGCACCTCCCCCTTTCCAAATCTATCGCCATATGGTTAATAATTTGCCTTGTTTTTTGCTACCAAAATGGATAACCTCACATTTTTCCACATTATACTGCATCAGCCACGCATTTACCCATTCACTCAACTTGTCCCACTCATACTGAAGCATCTCTGCATCCACCTCACAGTTCACCCTCTCACCAGCTTTGTGTCATTTGCAAACTTGGAGTTATTACATTTGGTTCCCTCATATAAATCATTAATGTATATGGTGAATAACCGGGGTCCAAGCACTGATCCCTGTGGTAACCCACAAGTCACTGGTTGCCACTAGGAAAAAGACCCATTTATTACTACTCTTTGTTTCCTGTTTGTCAACTAGTTCAATATCCATGCCAGTACACTACACCCAATGCCTTTAATTTTTCCTGCTAATCTCTTAATGGCACCTTATCGAAAGCCTTCTGAAAGTCCTTTAAACCACATCCAACAGCTCCCTGTATCAACTCCGTTAGTTCCATTCCATCCTAATGGATTTGTCAAGCATGATTTCCCTTTTGTAAATTTACATTGACTCTCTGCAATCCTGCCACTGGCTTCCAAGTGTTTATTTATCGTGTACTCTTAACACTTTCCCAACTACTGATGTCAGGCTGATAGTCTATAATTCCCTGTTTTCCCTCTGCTTCCTTTTCTAAATTGTGGGGTTGTGTTAGCTACCCTCCAAACCATAGGACTATACCAGGGTCTGTTGAATCTTGAAAGATGACCACCAGTACATCCACTTTTTCTGGGGTGACTCCTTTGAGTACTCTGGGATATCGATTATCACACCCTATAAATTTATTGGCCTCTAATCCCAACAAGTTAGACCATAAAACTGTAAGGTATAGAAACAGAATTAAACCGTTCAGCCCATTGAGTCTGCTCTATCATTCGATCATGGCCAATATGTTTCTCATCTTCATTTCTCCTGCCTCGCCCCCGTAACTTCTGATTCCCTTACTAATCATGAACCTATCTATCTCTGTCTTAAAGACATTCAATGACTTTGTCACTGAAGGCTGCGGAGGCCATGAGTTCCACAGATTAACCACCCTCTGGCTGAAGAAATTCCTCTTCGTCTCAGTTCTAAAGGTCATCTCTTCACTCTGGTCCCAGTCTCTTCTACTAGTGACTATACCTTCTCCACATTCACTCTATCCAAGCTTCTCAGTATTGTGTAAGTTTCAATGAGATCCTCCCTCATTCTTCTAAATGCCATCGATTACAGACCCAGAATCCTCAACCGCTCCCCATATGACAAGCCCTTCACCCCCAGGATCATTCTTGTGAACCTCCTCTGGATCCCCTCCAAAGCCATTAGTGTGCTGCACATGTTACAGTTTACAGAGAATGCTGACTTCCCTGGTACAATGGGTCACACAGAAAATAGATTTTTTTTTATCACAGATATCTCCTACATTCCTGAAATCGCCCATGATGTTATACAGCTTCATCCTGCACCCAGGAGTCCACTCTTCACACAAGAGTTTGAACAGTGAAATTTAACAGGCTGTTTGTCTGTGGAGGATATAATTAGATGAGACTACTCTGGTCCTCTCTCAAAGTCCACACATGGGGCTTTCCCATCTGGAATCTTGCAGATGAGTGGGAGCCCTAAGCCCAGGGTGGCATGTAACTGAAATTGCTGCCCCAGCTCAACTATCTTACGCCAGAACTAATGGAAAACAGACCTGAGATCTATTGGTCTCCATGCCTTGGTGCTATAGTGGACACAGTGTTCACTCAGCAGGTCATTAGGGAGAGATAGTAAAAAGAAATGCACTTGACTGTCAACTAAAGAAATAACCAATGTTCAAAATCTGAAGTAGGTAATTCAAGATCTTAAGGCTTGAAAAAAGGCATAGAATTTACAGCACTAAATTAAGTCGTTCAGCCAAACTAATCTATATTAGTGTTTAAGCTAGTCAGATGTCTTTATGAGTCTTTATCCAGAAAGAGCATCACCTCTTTATTTTGCACACCCTGATGGGCCTTACTATATTTTTCTCACATTTCTAGTCTAACACCTAATGTAGGTCTGCCCACCTAAGTGTGCCAACATCCCTTTTGGAGTGGTGGCTTACAACATTGTGTGTGATGCGTAGTGGTGTCAATAAGTTGGTACTTGTATTTCACAGAAACGCAGAGATTTCCTGCAGCTCATGCTTGATGCCCGGATATCCACTGATTACACTACCATGGAGAAATTCGATGTTACCAATTCCAGTGGTGAAATCGAGGAGTCTCCCGAGACACAGAATGCAAAGGACATGGCCAAGTCAAGCCCAGCCAGAATCCAGAAGAAGGTCCTTAGTCTGAATAAAATCTTTGGACAGGCATTCATTTTCTTTGCAGCAGGATATGAAACCACCAGCAGTACTCTGTCCTTTGTTTCTTACCTGCTTGCCACCCATCCTGAGAGCCAGGAGTTGCTGCTAAAGGAAGTGGATGAATTCTATGAGTCTCATGTAAGTTCAGTTTGACTTTTATGTCTGACGATAAGGCTTCCAATCCCTGCATGGCCTTGCCCCATCTCTGTAACCTCCTCATGTCCTACAACCCCCTAAGATCTGTTTCCACCAATTCTAGTCACCTGCACATCCCCTGTTTGCTTTACCCCATGGGTTTTAATTGTGCTTTCAGTTGTCTAAGTCTTAAGCTCTGGAATTCCCTCTCCAAACATCTTCACCTCATCTTCCTTTAAGGTGTCAAACGTTTTCTCCAGTGAAACATATTGAGATCTTTTACTGTGTTGACTATCTGTAATCAAGTACTTCTTTGTCAATTTCTCTGTGCCTACTGTTAACAGCTAGTTGCCTGGGGTATCTTAGATCCACCCAAGTGAACAGGTAGCACTGTAGATAAAGGTGTCATTTAGAAAAATGGCACTTGCGACACTGTAGTACTGAAGTGTCGGTTTATATTGTGTTCTCAGTCAGAGACCTAAGAGCATTCAGACTTTTGGGGGTTCTGTACCTTAAAGTAATTAGAAGTTAATTCTGTTTTGATCTATTTACTGAGGTGTAAATATTTAATTTTCCACAATGAGACACTTTATAAATCTATCCTCCAGTGACTGGAGATTTTTTTTTATTAGTGACATGGATGTGTCATTTAAATTCAGGTTGATTCAGCAGATTTCCCTTGCATAAATGTATAACAGTAGCTATTAATATCTCTGAGTGGGACACACATTTAGAGTGAACGTGCAGGTTGACGACAGCTGAGTGCTGATTGGACAACGGTGTGCATCAAAAATAGCAGCCATATATTTCCCAGAGGTAAATGAGTTTGCAGCGAGAGTTAGAGAGAAAGGAACAAGAAAGGACTTGTGACCAGCTCAATATTTTCAACACCAGGTCTACCAAGTTACAGCGATAATTGCCTGAAGTAGGTTCAACTAGGCAAAAGCAAGATATTGTAGATACTTGAAATCTGAAATTGAATAAGAAAATGCCAGAAATACTCAGCAGGTCAAGTAACAGCTGTGGAGAAAAAAAAAGCGTTAATCTTTCAGGTCGATAACCTTCCACCATGTTTACATGGGTACATTTCTGGAGAGATTAGAGAATTTCAGTCATCGCTCCCCATATTTGAAGCACTCCATGCCCTTGCCTCTTTTAACTGTCACATCCTTTGTCCCCATAACTCTGTCCTCCCCACAATCCCTTCAACCTCAACATTGGCAGCTGCCTCAACTCCAAATCCTGGAATTTCCTCCCTTAACCTCTCTGCCACTTCACTTTCTTTCCTTCCGTATCACCCTCCATTTAGCCAAGATTTTAGTCACGTCTTCCTAATGCCTCATTGTCATGAAAAACCTTTAAATGTTTCCTTACATGAGATGCACAAAAATATAAGTTGTTGTTGATGGTTGTGAAGGATTGTAACAAATATTGGGTAATTTGAGATTGAACTGGCAAAGAGGGTCAGCATTCCTCCCACTATTCTTCTTAAAAATCCTTATGAATTCCCTCTTGTGTTTAGGCATTCAGTAAGAGGGGGAACTCTACCCCGAGTTAACATAAAACAAATTATCAGGAGTGCATGAAAGAAAACAAAACGATTTTGTAAATAGAATAGAATTTATTTCAATCTTTATGTACATTATCAAATAAAGTGGAGTACCTGTAAATAGCAATCTATATCCAGAACCTGGGAGCAACACTGCACAACATCTGAGATAACAAGGTGTCGAGCTGGATGAACACAGCAGGCCAAGCAGCATCAGAGGAGCAGGAAAGCCGACGTTTTGGGCCTAGACCCTTCTTCAGAATTGGGGGAGGGGAAGGGGGTTCTGAAATAAATCGGGAGAGAGGGGGAGGCGGATAGAAGATGGATAGAGGAAAAGATAGGTGCAGAGACAGACAAGTCAAAGAGGCGGGGATGGAGCCAGTAAAGGTGAGTGTAGGTAGGGAGGTCAGTCCAGGGAGGACGGACAGGTCAAGGGGGCGGGAGGAGGCTAGTAGGTAGGAGATGGGGGTGGAGCTTGAGGTGGGAGGAGGGGATAGGTGGGAGGAAGGACAGGTTAGGGAGGCAGGGACAGGCTGGGCTGGTTCTGGGATGTGGTCGGGGGAGGGGAGATTTTGAAGCTTGTGAAGTCCACATTGATACCATTGGGCTGCAGGGTTCCCAAGCAGAATATGAGGTGCTGTTCCTGCAATCTTCGGGTGGCATCATTGTGGCACTGCAGGAGGCCAGGATGGACATGTCGTCTAAGGAATGAGAGGGGGAGTTGAAATGGTTCGCGACTGGGAGGTGCAGTTATTTAGTGCGAACCGAGTGTAGGTGTTCCACAAAGCGGTCCCCAAGCCTCTGCTTGGTTTCCCCGCTGTAGAGGAGGCCACAACGGGAACAGCGGATATAGTATACCACATTAGCAGATGTGCAGGTGAACATCTGCTTGATGTGAAAAGTCTTCTTGGGGCCTGGAATGGGCGTGAGGGGGGAAGTGTAGTGGCAGGTGTAGCACTTCCTGCGGTTGCAGGGAAAAGTGCCGGGTGTGGTGGGACTGGAGGGGAGTGTGGAGCGGACAAGGGAGTCCCGGAGAGAGTGGTCCTTCTGGAAGGCAGATAAGGGTGGGGAGGGAAAAATGTCTTTGGTGGTGGAGTCGGATTGCAGATGGCAGAAGTGTTGGAGGATGATGCGTTGGATCCGGAGGTTGGTGGGATAGTACGTGAGGACGAGGGGAATTCTGTTTTGGTGTATCGGCGCCGCCTCGTGCTCCCACGAGGAGCTCGAACAGTTCATCCACTTCACCAACACCTTCCACCCCAACCTTAAGTTCACCTGGACCATCTCTGATACCTCTCTCTCCTTCCTGGACCTCTCTGTTTCCATCTCTGGTAACCACCTGGAAACCGATATCCATTTCAAGCCCACCGACTCCCACAGCTAGATAGAATACACTTCCTCCCACCCACCTTCCTGCAAAAATGCCATCCCCTATTCCCAATTCCTTCGCCTCCGCCGCATCTGCTCTCAGGAAACGACATTCCACTCCCGAACATCTCAGACGTCCTCGTTTTTCAAGGACCGCAACTTCCCCCCCCTCAGTGGTCGAGAGCGCCCTTGACCGTGTCTCCTGCATTTCCCGCAAGTCATACCTCACACCCCCTCCCTGCAATAACAACCAAAACAGAATCCCCCTCGTCCTCATGTACCACCCCACCAACCTCCAGATCCAACGCATCATCCTCCAACACTTCCGCCATCTGCAATCCGACCCCACCACGGAAGACATTTTTCCCTCCCCACCCTTATCTGCTTTCCAGAGGGACCATTCTCTCCGGGACTCCCTTGTCCTCTCCACACTCCCCTCCAGCCCCACCACACCCGGCAGTTTTCCCTGCAACCGCAGGAAGTGCTACACCTGCCCCTTCACCTCACCCCCGTCCCAGGTCCCAAGAAGACTTTCCACATCAAGCAGATGTTCCACCCACACATCTGCTAATGTAGTATACTGCATCCGCTGTTCCCGTTGTGGCCTCCTCTACATCGGGGAAACCAAGCAGAGGCTTGGGGACCGCTTTGTGGAACACCTACGTTCGGTTCGCACTAAACAACTGTACCTCCCAGTCATGAACCACTTCAACTCCCCCTCCCATTCCTCGGACGACATGTTCATCCTGGACCTCCTGCAGTGTCACAACGATGCCACCCGAAGGTTGCAGGAACAGCACCTCATATTCCGCTTGGGAACCCTGCAGCCCAATGGTATCAATGTGAACTTCACAAGCTTCAAAATCTCCCCTCCCTCTACCGCGTCCCAAAACCAGCCCAGCTTGTCCCCGCCTCCCTAACCTGTCCTTCCTCCCACCTATCCCCTCCTCCCACCTCAAGCCCCACCCCCATCTCCTATCTCCTAGCCTCATCCTGCCCCCTTGACCTGTCCGTCCTCCCTGGACTGACCTGTCCCCTCCCTAACTCCCCACCTACCCTCACCTTTACTGGCTGCATCCCCACCTCATTGACCTGTCTGTCTCCTCTCCACCTATCTTCTCCTCTGTCCATCTTCTATCCGCCTCCCCCTCTCTCCCTATTTATTTCAGAACCCCCTTCCCCCATTTCTGAAGAAGGGTCTCGGCCCGAAACGTCAGCTTTCCTGCTCCTCTGATGCTGCTTGGCCTGCTGTGTCCATCCAGCTCTATACCTTGTTATCTCACTGCACAACATCTACCTGCATCTATTCCAACAGAATACCTCTCTATTCCAACAGCACAGATGTACTGTCTGCTTCAAATAGAACTCTCAAACAAAAGCAGATGTAAGGAAGGATAGGAAGTTTTATGCTGGGATAATCCAGATTTGTAACTCATGGTCAGCTGCTGAAATTGATTCTGAAAAGTTGTATTGGCAGAGGGAAAGAGAAATTTTGAAGCTCAGTCTCAGGTAGTCAACACAAAGACTCCCATCAGATTCTGTTCCCTGTCTGTTACCCTAACTGCGCTGTCCCCTGTTACTACTACATTTTTCATTTCTCCTCCCACATGAACAGCACTCTCTACCATGGTGCATTGGTGAGTTTACTCATTTTACCTGCAGTCTATGCCCCCATCCATAGTGGGAGCAAGAACCTTATACCTGTTGGACAAGGCTTCTCCAGAGCTAAATTCTGGATTCCCATACCTTCCTCACTTACCATCACACCTTCCTGTCCTTGATCATGGACCAAATTTAAATTAGGTTAAGGGGTGTGACTGCTCTCTGAAACAGTATCCAGATACCTCTCCCTCTCCCGGATAGGTTGCATTATCCACAGTTCAGACTTTAGCTCATCAGCACTGAATCAAAGTTCTTCAAACAGCCAACACTTGCTGTAGGTATGATCACTGCAAATTGCACTGGCGTTCTACCAGCTCCCGCATACCACAGCTGCAACACATTGCCTGCTCAACCACCTCTGTTATATTTAATTAATTAATTAATTTGGGTGTTAAATGTTTTAGAAGTGAATTTCCTAGCAGTA